GAACAACCAGATCTCCATGTGCAACTCGTTCGCGAACAAAGTGGTAGTCAATCTGAATATGTTTACTACGAGCATGCTGAATAGGATTTGCAGTCAAATAGGAAGCCGAAATATTATCACATAACAAACGCACGGGTTCTTTGATGGGATAGCCGAGCTCAAAGAGAACATATCTGATGTGTAGTGTATCCTGAACTGTGTATGCAATAGCACGATACTCGGCCTTTGTGGAGGATTTGGAGACTGTGGGTTGCTTCTTGGACTTCCAGGAGACTAAATTAGGACCCAAAAATACGGCATAACCTGTAGTGGACCGTGAGCTATCAGGACATCCGGCCCAATCCGCATCTGAGTATGCAACAACACACGTGGGTCGGTCAGAATGCTGGAGCCATAACCCATGATCACGTGTTCCCTGCAAGTACCTGAAAATTCTTTTGACTGCAAGTAGATGAGTAGTACGAGGGGCATGCATGAACTGAGAAACTAAGTGTACTGCATAAGTAATATCTGGCCGTGTCAAAGTTAAATATTGTAACGCACCTACCATGCTACGATACTCAGTCGAGTCCACAAGTAACTCACCATCAGAAAGAGATAGAGTAGTACGAGATGCTAGAGGGGTGCACACAGGGTTAACCATGTGAAGATGAAAGCGAGCAAGAAGATCAGAAACATATTTGTTTTGAGAGAGAAACATACCTTTATTCGAACGAGTTGCCTCGAGACCCAAGAAATAGTGTAGGTTACCCAGATCCTTCATGGCAAAGTGGTTACAAATAGTGGAGATAAATTGGGTAACAGTGGACTCAGAATTGCCAGTAATAATAATATCATATACATATAGTAATAAATAAATGATAGAATTATTATGGCGATAGATAAATAAAGAATTATCAGATTTACTACAAGAAAAATTATGCTGCAGGAGAAAGCTACTAAATCTATGAAACCATGCCCGTGGGGCCTACTTCAGACCATAAACGGCCTTGTGCAAACGACACATATGATTGGGAAATTGAGGATGAATGAACCCACGGGGTTGACACATGTAGACTTCTTCTGTGAGATGACCATGTAAAAAGGCATTTTTAACATCAAGCTGACGAATAACCCAACCAAAAGATACAGCCAAGGTGAGTAGAATACGAACGGTGTTGGGTTTAATAACAGGACTAAAAGTTTCAGAAAAATCAATGCCAGCCTGTTGATTAAATCCCTGAGCAACTAATCTAGCTTTATGTCGTTCAATAGACCCATCAGAATGATATTTTGTTTTATAAATCCACTTACAGCCAATAATATTCTTAGTATTGTCAAAGGGCACCAGATCCCAAGTATTATTATTAATGAGTGCATTAAATTCATCGGCCATTGTTTCCCTCCATTTTAAATGTTTATTTGCCTCAGTAAAACAAGTAGGATCCGTAGGAATAACAACTGTACTGAGATTAAAGACAATTTTAGGTTTGAAAATTCCCGCTTTTGCACGGGTTGTCATGGGGTGCTGATTAAGGACCTTTGGGGGCTGAATGGAAGGTGACGAAGGAGGGCTGGTCGCGGTGTGGGAAGAGTTGGACTGAGTATGGAAATTGGCAGAGGCTGTCTTAGTGTCGGTTTCGGAAGCAGAAGAGTGTGGGCTCGAGGTGAAGGACGTCGGGGTGGAGCTGGCCGTTGAGGAAGAAAAAGGGGAATTGGGCATAGTCGGCGTTCTGGCTGCGGACGGTGAGAGTGGTGGTGCGTTGTGGAACGTCGTGGGTGCGAGTAAGGGCTGTGGAACTGGGGGAGATGATGTGTTAGTAAGGGTCATAGGAGAGGGTTGTTGTGCGGGAAGAGATTGAATGGGTTTCCTAAAGGTTTGAAAGGGATATGTATCCTCGTGAAATCTAACGTGACGACTAACATACACTCGACCTGTATTAGGATCCAAACAACGATAGCCCTTGTACCCTGGTGCATAGCCAAAAAAAATACATTGAACAGACCTATGTGAAAGTTTGTTAGTTAAGGTGGCTGAAAAATTCGGATAACAGGCTGACCCAAACACACACATAAAAGAGTAGTCACGAACACGTTGAAAAAGTTTTTGATATGGAGAAAGACCGTGCAAAGTAGGGGAGGGTAATCTATTAATGATATATGCAGCTGTAAAAATTGCATCAACCCAATATTGACTCGGAACGGAGGCTTCAAGAAGCACAGTTCGAGTTAATTCAAGAAGATGACGATGTTTTCTTTCTGCTACCCCATTTTGTTGAGGTGTGTCAGGACAAGATTTTTGAAAATAAATTCCATTAGCTGAGAAAAATTGCTGCATATTATGATTAACAAATTCACCGCCCCCATCACTTTGAAAAATTTTAATTTTATGACTAAAAAGATTTTCAACTAAAGCTTTAAAATTCTTAAAGTGCATAAAAACTTCACTTTTGTGACACATAGGATAAATCCAAGTAAATCGGGAATAATCATCAATGAAGCAAACATAGTACTTGAATCCCAAATTAGAAGAAATTGGAGACTACCACACATCAGAATGAATAATTTGTAAAGGAAAAGAAGAAGTATGACTAGTATCCATAAAGGGCAATCGTTGTGATTTTCCTAATCGGCAAGCAACACACTCATGAGTAAAAGGAGAATGACTACATAAAAATTGTCGACGTTTAAGAAATTGTAAAATATTATCACCACAATGACCTAATCTACGGTGCCACACAGGGCCAGAAGCTAAAACAGAAGCTAAAACTAAGGTTGGAGATGACCGCAAACGGAGAGGATAGAGTGGCCCACTACTGGAAGCTCGCAGAAGAATTGCCCCCAAGGTTTTGTCCTTAATAAAAAAAGAATTTTTATCAAAAATTACAGTACAGTTATTATCCGCGCAAAGTCTTTGAATTGAAATTAAATTATATTTTAACTGAGGCACATGATAAACAGATTTTAAGGTAAGAGAACGACCAGAAGAGGGTAATGCAACATCACCAACATGAGTAATAGGTAAATGGGCACCATTAGCAACACTAACAGAATTATAGCCATTGTAAACATATTTATTTTGCAAAATACCTTCGGATGCAGTCATGTGAGCCGATGCCCCCGAATCGGGATACCATAGAGTGGGATTAGATTCTCCGGGAGAAGTCAACAGAGCAGGACTTGATTGCTGAGTGAAGCGTGAGGGACAAGTAACTGCGGAATGACCTGCAGAAAAGCAAATTTGACACACAACGGGATGGGGAACAGAACCAAGAATACCTCTTTTTGATGGCAAGCCTGCAGAACTAGAATTAGTAACACCAACATGTAATGCATTAATATTTAAATGTGACAAAGCAGAATTACAAATAACAGTACCCGTAGTCGGCACACCCCCTACATGTGGAGCATACCCGGCTGGAGACGAAGGATCACCCCCTGCCGAGGCATAACCCGGCTGCCCCTGCTGCGGATACCAAAACCCAGGCTGCCCGTAGTATACGCCTTGCTGTCCTCGTCCGCGCCCACGGCCACCGCGTCCTCTGCCACGACCGCGGCCGCGGCCGCGTTGCGGCTGACCTTGTGGACGGTGTGGCGCTGCTCCTGGCTGTTGAAATCCATGCGCCTACTGGCCCGCCTGCTGGCCAGTCGGATGTGCAGTGTGCGAAGCAATGACGCCAAACGCCTGGTGTATAAGAGATGATTCATGGGATTGAAGATAGAGAACCCGCTGTTCGAACTCAAGAAGATGATTGCGCAGTGACTCAAAAGGAAAATTGTGAGAAAATAGCGAGGCAGCAGTGAATAAAGATTCATACTCAGGTCCCAACCCCATAATAGTAGATTTGAGTAATTCACGAGGAGAGACAGGACAATTAATTGTAGCATGATCATCGGCTAAGGTTTTAATCTCCCGTAAATAATTGTCCATAGACTGATCAGGTTTCTTTTTAATTTGAGAAAATAAGCGCTTTAATTCCATAGATCTGGCCAAACTGGCTGACATAAAACGATTCTCTAACCGTTCCCAAATTTCACAAGAATGATTTAAATCCCGAACATCAATGAGAATATCACAAGATAGCGTGGCAAATAACCATGAACGAATTGGTTGGTCAATGCGAAGCCAAGTGGAAAATTCGGGATTGGGAATTTGACGGTTAAGCATATCTATGGAATAAGCAGGGGGTACCTGAATGGAGCCATCTACCATGCCGAGAAGGCCTTGCGAGACAAGGAATGACTCAAACTGAGTGCGCCATGTAGTGTAATCTTCCACCGCCAGAAGTTTGGTAGTAACAATGTTTGTGACGTTGGTGGCGACGTGAGAAATAGTTTGAGCCAAATCAGACAGAAGAGATGCGTTGGTGCTGCCCGGTGTTGTTCAAATTGGTGGTAGGGTGGAGGAGACCCCAGGAGAGCCGACGAACTTGGGTCAGGAGAAAGGGGCTGCCGGGAATGGTGGCGGATCAAGCGGTACTCGCTGCACCGGAGATGGTGCCGGCCATGGAAACACCGGTGGGATATTTTGAAAGAGGGAATAAAGCATAGATGTCCGGTTGGGTGATGCAAAACTGGAGGAGAAGGTCACCCCGGACTCAACGGAGCTCATGACCGGCTGCGTTCCAAAAGGGATAGGAGCGCCAGTGATTGCTGCGGTGCTGATCGCGGCTGACGAGATGACGGCGGCAGAGATGGGCGCTGCGGAAGAGACGGCGGCCAGCGAACTCATGCTGCTGCGGCTAGGGTAACGCCGTGATAGGCGGCGGCGGCGGCGTGTATAGAGAGAGAAGGAGGACCGAAAAAAAATTAGGTTTTTAATAAGCTCTTGATACCATGTGAGAATAATGATCAGGATGCTCTCTAAGTAGCCCTAGCAGATATATTTATAATAAAGAGAGTTTAACGTAAAATACAATACTGAGCCTATAATAATTCTATCAGTGTTTTATCCCAAATTTTGCATTCTTGAAATATATAGTGCTTTTTACTTGGTAGTATATGTAAAGTGACAGTATATATATACGGAATATATATCATCAAATTAAACTAGCTCATCCTTAAATATATGGACAGTCTTGCAGCTGAACTGAAGAATAATCCAAATCAAAGATGACAGAGAAAGAAGTCCTCCTCCCAGTGACCATGAATGGTCTCAGTCAAAGCAAACCAGGATCCAATAATTCTCCTCCTAATAAGAAAAAGCGAAACCTTCCAGGAAACCCAGGCAAGAATACATCAAGTCTAGCTCCCTAGCCTATATCTCTCAAATAATCAATACATAATATGTTCATTTAATTATCTCTTGTTGATTATTTCTAATTCCTTCTTCTTTTATTAGATCCAGGAGCTGAAGTGATCGCTCTGTCGCCAAAGACGCTGATGGCAACAAACAGGTTTGTGTGTGAAGTATGTGGGAAAGGGTTCCAGAGAGACCAGAATATGCAGCTTCACAGAAGAGGGCACAATCTGCCATGGAAGCTAAAGCAAAGGAGCAGCAAAGAAGTGAGGAAGCGGGTGTTCGTCTGCCCGGAAATGAGCTGCGTCCACCACCACCCTTCCCGGGCTCTCGGCGACCTCACCGGAATCAAGAAGCACTACTTCCGGAAGCATGGCGAGAAGAAGTGGAAATGCGAAAAATGCGAAAAACGCTATGCCGTACTATCTGATTGGAAAGCCCATTCCAAGACTTGTGGGACTAAGGAATACATATGTCACTGTGGTGCTCTTTTCACTAGGTAACTAACTATTTCTCAACGTTCTATTTCTTTTATCCTAAAATAATTTCATCACTCTCTTTTGTGATAAAGAATTTGTGACTTATAACATTTTATATACTTCTTTCGTTCTTAAATAAGTGCAACAGTCAACATTTCACACTTGCCGAGACACAACTTTGACCATTAATATATATAATTCTCCATTAGTAAAAAAAATTTAAAAAATAGTTTTTAAAAATTTACAATGAGACAAATTTAATAATATATTTTTCAAAAAAATATATTAATACATCAATAAATAAAATGTAGTCAAAGTAGAACATGTGAATAATGTGAGGTAGTATATTTTTACACATTTATGTCTCACTTGTCCATCAATTAAGTTCACTATTAGACTTTCACAGTCTCCCACATTGACGTTTTATCTTTGATATACTACGTATAAAAGTATACAATCATAAAACCTACAATAAACTAACATTTCAATAGTATTCTTAAATGAAGTATTCAAAATTATTTGGGGATTATAAACTAATACGGTTTTTCAATAAATAACAGTTAAAAGTAACAAAGTTTAACTCAAAAAGTGTAACTGTGAACTTAATATAATTGCGAGACAGAGGGAGTACTACATATTTATTCCTTTTATTTATGTCGATATAGTAGCATGAATTTCATGCTTATAATCCACTTTATACTCCACAGTAAAGTTAAATTTATTTACTTAATATGTGTGAAGTCAAATGTACGTGGAACTTGTTTATGAATCAGAGGGAGTATTACTTTAATTTTGTCTATGTCATTACAGTACATTCGATAGTACGCATGAAATTTTAGTTGCCACGTACAATATTTTGATCTAAAATTTGAACAGTAATATCGTTTCAACCATTTACGTACATTTATGGTACTGATTATTTCTTTTTAAGAGTTAAAGTGCCAAAATGCAACAATACCAAAAGTTAAGATATGATTTATGTCTTTTACCCCATTAAACATGATATTCACATTTACCTTTTAAAATAGAACTCTAAATCCTAATATGTGTCGAAACCAAATAAGCCGCTACAATGGGGCAATTAAGTCATTTTTAAACTAAAAAATGAACACGTGAACTTTAAGATTGGTACTGTTTTTAAATAAATGCAACACTCTGACTTTTACACTATTCACATGTTCTACTTTGACTACGTTTTATTTATTAATGTAATAATATTATTTTATGAAAAAGAATATTGTTAAACTTGTCTCATTGTAAATTTTCATAATCTAATTTTTTTAATTTTTTACTAATACAAAATCATTTATATTAATGGTCAAAGTTGTGTCTCGGCAAGTGTGAAATGTTGACCGTTGCATTTATTTAAGAACGGAGGAAGATTATCTTTAGTATAATTTTTTCTTGAAATGTATGTATTTATTTTTAATGGTTATGTTGGGCAGGAAGGATAGCTTCATAACGCATAGGGCGTTTTGTGATGCATTAGCAGAGGAGACAGCAAGACTATCTGCAGCTTCCCATAACATGAACTACAACTTAATTCTCAAGCCATCAATAATCAGCAACATTGAAGAAAACATGAACCAAATAATGCAAGGGAAAGAGCAGCTTCTTCCACTGTGGATGAGTAAGGAACCATCCCAAGGACAAGAAAGATCATCATCATTTATGTTTCCTAATAGTTCTAGCCACCTCCATCAAGAATTCCAATCATTTTGTTCTGATCCTCACAGTATTGTCACTTCCTGCTCAGACCCTATTCCTGAATCCAGTTTCCAAATGAACTGGGATCTCATTGGGAACAAGATTATCGATCCCTCAAACAATACTAATAATAACGATGCTGATGACGAGGAGTTGGCAGGAAATGTGATTATTAAGGAGAATGGGAATCCCATGCAGGCCCAGGTAGTCACTTTTCCATCCTTGTTTAGGAGCCAGTTCGAAAACCGGTCATCGTTCTCTCGCCAAACGCAGCCCGTTACGACAAACATGTCAGCAACCGCTTTGCTACAGAAGGCTTCTCAGATTGGATCCACCACAAGTACTGACCGTTCATTGTTCCTAGGAAGCCTAGGGTTGAAGTTTGACAGCAACCATGTTGTTCATCATCAACATTATGGTAATAACAGTAATAATAATGGCAGTAAGTTTTCAGCAGGAGTATTATCATATGAAGCAGCCTCATCAGTTGTCAATGGTCATCATAATGATATGGAGAGCTCAGTGAATAATGTTTTCTCAGCTTGGGACCAACTCCAGATGTACCCCTCCAAGCGCAGGTACATACAGAATGAAGATTGCACAGGAGGAGGAGGGCAAACTAGGGATTTCTTGGGAGTTGGAGTACAGTCATCAATCTGCAACCCTTCATCGGTTAATAGATGGATATGATCATATGGGAAGAAAATAAAGAAAAGCTAATGAGGTGCTGACAACAAAGTGGAGAGGGATGTACGTGGAAAATTAAAAGAGAGGGTTTTAATATAATATTTGGCAAACTTTGCAGGGCAGAAAAGGTGGCATTTGAGTGCTGGAAAGGGGCAAATAAAAGTTGGTCTTTGGAAAAAGAGGATTATAATATCCAAGCTAAGCTAAGTGTTGATCAATCAAAGGAGCTGATCGAGGCAGATTCCTGCATATTCTACTGAACCATCCTCAATATGGGTGTTCAATTCTCTTTATAAAATGGTGGCCGGCTTTAATTTTCTTGTTAAAAGGGAGGTGGAGCAGTGGGACAAAGCAAAAGGGACCCCAACCTTTTCAACTCCATTATTGCTGTTTTTCATATTTGTTAACTACTTCAATTCAATTCTCTACATGCAATCATAACTATATTATATTTATGCCAAAAATCCAAAAGGCAATTATTGCCCTCTAGCTTAACCAGTAAGTTTCTTTTCATGTTTGTTAGAGCATCTCCATTCATGCTCTCTAAATAAACGATTTTTTAGTACACATATTGACACATCACATTTATTCAATAAATTTTAAATAATACTTAAATAACCGGTTTTTTCTGGACATGCATTAAATGTAATTTAACTATAATCTAAAATAATCCGGGATTGGAATCTTGATACCGAATTTTCTTTTTCAATAATCTCACTAAATAATCTCTCACTCACAATGATAATCTTTAAAATAATCTTACACATCATACAATTGATCTTCAAATAAACTCATGGATGAGGATGCCCTTATTAGTCTTATTATAAATGGAATTTATCACTAATTAAACACTCACATACTACCTCTGTTCTCTTTTAATTGCAACATTGGACATTTTGCACTATTCACATATTCTATTTTAACTATATTTTATTAATTAATGTATTATAAATTAAATTCTTAAAAAATATTGTTAAATTCTTCTCATTCTAAAATTTTAAAATATGATTTTTTTTAAATTATTTACTAATAGGGAATGAAAGATGGTAGATTCTATGATACGCATAAGGTACCATACATTCGTCCACATAGACCAATCAGAATGTTGCAGTTGAATTATTTAAATCTAAATTAAAAATGATATGATGATTTGGACCAATCAAGTGAATGGTAGGTACGATACCTCATTTTTTAAATGGGTACCGGAGTTGTCACCATGAAAGATATTAATGGATAAACGTGTGTGTTGACAAACGTGAAATGTTAATTGTTGCAATTAAAAGGGAATGAAATAAGTATTTAATTTGTTGCATCAACGAACTAAAGATGAAAAATACGTACAGTAGAGTATAATGCAACGCTTACATTTTCGGCTGATATATGGGTTTGTTCTTTACGGAAATAGCAAATTAGTCCCCAATATATAACGACAAATATATGATCGAAATAATTGTAATGACAAAAATGTGACCTTTTATGAGTATATTTTAGTATATTTTAGTGATTATCATAGTAACTTTAATTTAGTGACTATCGTTGTGTTCAACTCTACATTTTAATTAGTGCACATACTAATTATAAGAATATTTTTGTTCATAAGTGATACGAGAAATTTGCTCCTAGTAGGACCAAATCATAACTCTTTTACAAAAATAATACCTGCTAATGTTTTTTCCATTCATATTACCTATTTAGTTCTAGATTAGGAAACCTATTTCTAACTTTCCAAATTTGCCCCCACCCTAAGAACTTCCCGACCTAGCTTCTTCCTTTCCGCCGCCACCCTATCTCCATCCTACTGCTTCCGCAATAGGTCAACAACTAGAAAGCAGAGCTTCACCGCATCTCCTCCACCCTGCGAAGACGAATCTCTCAAAATCCAAGTGAGAGGTTTTTACGAACGGGAATGGGTAGTTTTAGTTAAAATTGATCGAGTATTTTGATGATTTAAATATGGATGATTTGTACGAATGAGTAGCAAAAAATAGAGCCGGTTGGCCGGCGTTCTTGTGCATCGATCATGTTACGGACGAGATTTGGGCTTGGATTTGAATAGATTATTTTATCAGAATTTATTGTCTACTTATTTCTATTTATTGTCTATTTAATATCTGATATTTCCTAAAGGTAAGAGTATTGTGGTCAATGCAGGTGTAGTTGAGTCTTACGCGAATCTGCGATATTAGTTTTGGAAAATCCGTACATTTTGCTCTTATTTGTTGAAATATCCCCAAATATTACGTACGCAGTACATCGAATCTTAGTAACTATAAAGTACTGAGTATGTCGGTATACTTAGGGCCACGATGGTTAGCTTCATTTAATATTTGAGGTATCATCAATAAGATAAGCTATGATACGTTTGTTGTATAAGCCCGGATATATACCTCAATTGTATAAACGTAATAAGTTCAGTACAATTTATTTTAGAGAGATTGACCTAAATAAGACTAAATAAATTCTTAATTATCAAAATAGGATTACACATTAAAAATTCTCTAAATAGGAGTTATTATGTGTAGTTGGACATAAACACCTCTCAAGCTTGGAAAACAAGCTGCCACTGACAGAATCCAAACTGTTGTCACTCGCCGGTCGCCGCCGGCCTCCGGTCACCGCCGCCGCCTTAGAACTGGTTACCTCCGCTACAGATGTGGCCTTTGTTGGTGCAGATCTGGTCGTCGCCATCGTAGATCTGACTAGATTTGACCGACGTCAGCCGCCGGCCTTGAATATCTGACTCCTACCGTTGATGTCCGACCGACGCTGCTGCAGATCCGGTCCACCCCACCGCTAATGCCAACATATTTTCCAGAATGCCAAAACGAATTTAGAATGCCATTGTAATGGCATTTTTCTTGATAAATTACAAAAAAATTGAAGTGTAAAAATGCCATTTTGATGGCACTTTCAAGTAAGATTTGGCAATTTGAACCAACAAAGAAGAATTACAGCACATACTTGTTGTTAAGTATTTAGTTTTATTGATGACTAAACCTCACACAAGAACATGGAATGGAACTATCTTATGGGCTAAACTAACGTTTATAATTATCTAACCATGCAGGTGAACCATATGATATAATTCTCATCTATCCAAAGGATAGACACTATATTTAGTTTCATGAATATAATAATTAGCATGAATGATTACATGATAAATCTATGATCTAATATCCTTGATACTGCATGACTAAATTAAACATCTCTTTCCTTGCATGCCTAATCACTCACGTGAATAAGTCAACTAATATGGCTTAAGTGTGGCTTAATTGAATATGCTAAGAAAATGCTTCCTTGAACATACATGGGGAAAGATCTATTGATAGTTGAATAATAAATGAAAGTTTTTTTTATTAAGGAAAGGATCCGTTGCATACATTAAGAAGTTTGCTACTAACCGAACGCCTTCTGCTATATGCTATACTTGGTAAAATCATCCTTGCTTGAAATATTATATGAATATCTTTTAAAAAGGATCTCGGAATATGGAGATGATTGTATAGCTCGATTTAATTTGATTGCATGAATGTTTTATTTCTAATTAATATCCATTGCATATTTACGTGATAAGTGAATCCGTGTTTCCTTATATAATGCTGCGTAAATCATGGGTTGATTTACTCTTGATTGAACGAAAAAGAGAGAAAGGAGAATCAACGGACATCTTCTGGGCTATATATAGTCAAAGACCAAGAGAAGAAGATGTGTGCTTAAACGAGCTTCTATTAAGAAATATACATGAGAATATTTACCTAGTCTAAGGCACCTGAACCTGCTCATGGAGTTCCAGACAGAGTTTCCTTTTCCCTTCTTCATATTGTAATTAGGGTTTTTACACTAGTAGAAAACTGGCTTACAGTGACACTTTTGTAGTGACACTTTCTGATATAATGCCACTAATAACACAAAAGTGTCACTGTTTTCTAACACAAATACATAATGACACTTCACATTTTTACGGAGTATACTTGGACTTAACGCACACCTAATTAATGGGCCAGCCTACACAGATCGAGAGTTTAATACACGGAAAATAAAATCGGAAGACAAAACACCCCTGCAAACCCTTCCTTACTCAACCGTCGAAATTCCCAGCTCTCTGTTGTACGTAGCATCACTTATTCACTTTACCTTTTCCACTAGGGTTTTTTATGAAGGTGGAGGCGGCTTGGCTGAAGGAAGATGGCGGCCTACCTGAAGACGACGATGGTCTGGCTGAGGAAGAAAATGGTCTGGCTGAGGGCGACAGAGACTAATTGAGGACGATGGATTTGCAGCGGGCGACGGCCACGGCCTTGCACAAGACCCCGGCTATGGCGGCCTTGCACCGGATGACGACGAAATTGCTGATGATGGCAACAGTCAACGAATGCAACTCTACCATTGATTACGACGATGAAGTACGGATCTGCCTAGGGTTTGTTTGATAGAGCTGGCGGCCTTAAATGAGTGCTGCAATGGGCGATACTGTTCGACGATGAGCGATGTTTTGGCTCTAAAAGTGGCGTTGATGGTCGGTGTCAGTGATGCGGCGTTGGACAGGGCTGGGGTCAGTGGGTGGCAACGGGATCTCTAGGCTATTCCCAGGTGTTTGATAAAATTCATGATAATATTCTTGAAAGGTAACTCCTCTCAAAATTTCTTAATTTTATCAATTTCTTGACAACCATGTCTACTTAGCTAGACTATAAATAGACACCAATATCTTTACTGTTATAGGAATAAATACTTCAATAAGGTTTCAAATAACCAATATTACCAAGTCCAGGGTTAAAAAAACCGATATCTCAGCTTAGAAGGTGAATTTCTAATCCATTTCCATTGTATATCTGAGTTTTTCAATTTTCACACACACTGAGTCACTGACACACATACACACACATATATAAATATATATATCCTCATTTGTGTTTAATTCAGTTTTGGATATGTGCTCATAGGTCATTAGAATAAGAAAGTTGGGGATGATAATTTCATAAATCCTTCTCACTTTATTATATCCGCTACTTTTCATGCTTCAATCAGGAAGAGTCGATGAAACACTAGCACCGATGTCTCATGTATATCAATTTTGTGCATTGTCCTCATTCTGAGGCAATCAAGCGAGCAACAAGCTCAATTGGTAAATTATTCTCTTAAATATCCCACATTCTATCTTCTTAGTGTTGTTTAAGTCTGATTGTCTATTAATGTAAGGTTTAATGTCAATAGTTTTTCTCTTTAGCTTTCTATTCATAAGAATGTATAGCTTATTTTGATTCTAATGTCCATAAGTACCATTTTGACAACTAGAAAGATAGTTTTTTGCTCTTCATATTGATGATTTAATGTAATGTTTGGTGGTCAGGTTATGTCTCCTATCATTCCTTTTTAATGGCTCTCTTTATCCCTCTATCGGTCCTTTGCTTAGAAAAACTACCGAAGTTGGTAGGATTCAACTTTGAAGGAACTCTGGAACCTTAAATAAAATAGTGCCTAAGATCTTACATTATAAGGATTAAGCCAATTATACTCTATCTTTGGTTGTGATGTTTATCATTTTGGTTCTTCTTGCAT